AAGTTTGATGGAAATGTGCGGAAAGCACCGATCTCAACACGACCCGCGGAGATGGTGCGGTCCGGATCAATGACGACGGCGACAAACGGTCCAGTCATTTGCTGTGTTTGCTGGGTGGCCACATCGATCCCAGACAGCCAGCACCCATAGCCAGGGTGACTGTGATACCATCCAACAGCATTTTCCATCCGGCCCGCGTCTCGACACGACTGCAAATATGATACCATGTACTCGTTTGCCTCGTCCTGTGCATTCACTCGAGTCTCGGTGCCTTCGACTGGCAACCGGAACGCATCTGTCACCACAAAGGTATTAGGTAGGATGTAGCCTTGCATCAGACCCATAATCTCTAGCGAGCCACCCGAGCGGGCGTGCATCACCATCTTCAATAGTGCTGTAGCGGAGATTCGGACGTGCTTGAAATAGTAAGGGTCGGTAGCCCATGGTCGCGTGTCGTTGAGGGCTTTTTCTGTGTCGGCATTGTATTCGTAGAGGGCGTCTCGTTGAGGATCAAAGACGCTTATCGCGTTCTCGAGCTCTGTGCGTGGACATTGGTTAATTACAATCTGGAGGCCATATGGGGTTATAGGGACTCACCCCAGGCCTGCTGGGCAGCCTGCATTGTGGATAGATGAGGATGGGGCAGATAGTAAAAGGGTGAACAATGTATTGAAGTGATCAGACTAGTTGAGGCAAGGCTTAAGTGAATGAGAGTCCTGCAAGGACTGGAGAGCAAATAGTATCAAAAGTCAATGAATAAATGCATGAGGCAAAGTAGGCCGTGGGGTTGATCATTGATTGGCAGTATTGGGCGGTCGGACTTGCTGAGTCAGCCGTTGCCCAGGACGACGATCGCGTCCAAACACCACTTGCGACCTCGGAAACTTGGTGTCATCTATCATCTGCGACTACAGGACTTCCCCCCCCCCCCACCCCCTCATAAACAACAGTGTGCTCGCTGTCGCATGTCGCTGCTTTAAGTGTTTTGGCGAACATTTACTTTCGTTTATTTCCGTCGCACCTTGTGTGCTGAGAACCCTGTGTGTCAGGCTCTCTTGTTTTGATCCCGACATAGGTCACCCTGCCGCAGCTTCGCTCGGCACTGTGTCACTGGACTGGGTACAACCCATTCTTTGTTATCAATCTCCAGTTTTGTCACCCTAATTAAGGGGTTTACTTTACAATGGCGGTAGACACCGGCTATTTAACCACTCAGGTCAACAACATCGTCGCCCAGCTCCATGGGATTTACGACGAAATTGGAGTTCCTGCGCGCGAGCGCGAGTCCCGCGAAGCGGAGGTTAGCTTGACCTAGTTGTAACAACGGCATTGTCGCGTGGCTAAAATAGTGATACAGCTCTTCAGCGCCCTGTCAGAGACCTTAAACAACCATCTCAAGGTTGTTGATGAGTGAGTCGCATCCACAAACAGACCATTTGGAGGCTTGCTAATCCCGTGTTCAGGGAGAGAGAGGATATGAGGCACGAAGCGGAACGATTAATTACGGCTATTCAACAAATGGAGTCGTCCCTGAGCGACGAACGGGCCAATGGCCAATATGAGCTTAACCGCGATGACCTTTGTGTGACCTACCCCCTCAACAAATGTATTGCATTCTTACGCGAGAAGAACGACTCGATGAGCAAGTTGCATCGTGAGCGCTTCGAGCAGGTTAAGAGTGAGTGTCATCTGTGGAATGTGTCGCTGACGCCCCTTTGCTGACATCCAATAGAACTTGTGGACGCGCTTGAATCATATTCCTCACACCTCGAACCATCATTTGTCAAGCTCGAACTTCCTCCCACTGCGCCAGGATCTTCAATTCCTCCGAGCTTCGACCTCTCGCCCTTGTATGTGACAGCACTGGATGCCGAATTCACCCACGTCTACGAAGAGTACCATCGCCGCATCGCCAAGGTCCAATCTGCCTGCGAAGAAATGATCAAGCTCTGGGCCGAGCTCGGGACACCCCAGGCGCAAACAGACTCCACAATTTTGAAGTGTTATCGCGAATCGCCTGAGCAACTGGGGCTGCATGAAGAGGATGTTGCCAACCTTATCGCCAAGCGCAATAACTTGGTAGAAGAAAAGAAGAGTCGCGAGCGCAAGATCAATGATCTCAGAAATACTGTGATCTCTCTTTGGGATCGCTTCGGTGTTGAGGAGACTGATCGCAAGGCATTCTTGGCTGCAAATCGTGGTTGCGGGTTGCGTACAATCAACGACCTCGAAGAGGAGTTGTCACGCCTCAACGAACTGAAGAGACAGAACCTCCACCTGTTTGTGGAAGATGCTCGCTGTCGATTGCAGGAACTTTGGGACACTCTTCTCTTCTCCGAAGAGGATATGCTTGATTTCACACCTGCATTCTCAGATGTGTGCAGTGATGCTTTGCTCGAGGCTCATGAGGCCGAAATTGCACGATTGGAGGTCATTAAGGAACAGCGCGCTCCCACTCTCGAAATGATTGAAAGACACCGCTCTCTTCTGGCAGACCGCGAGGCACTTGCAACGTCAAGCCAAGATGCATCCCGCCTCATGGGCCGCGGGAGCAAAGGAGAGAAGCGAGACCCTGGAAAGCTGCTGAGAGAGGAGAAGCTGCGCAAGAGAATTGCCAAAGAATTGCCGAAGCTTGAAGCTGACCTGCGGAAAGAGCTTGAACACTGGGAAGATGAATTCGACCGTCCATTCCTGGTTCATGGAGAACGATATCTTGATTCGTTGACACCTGTCAAGTCAATGCTTCCACCACGCTCAAAGACACCATCTGCACCACCTTCATCTACTAAAGCAAGCACAACAAGACAACACCCGCCTCTTCGCCCCGCAAGTTCCTTGAGAGGCCTGCCTACCCCCCGCTCAGCCATCAAGACCCCCACTAGCAGCGGCCCAGTTAAACACAATACCATTGGCTACGGGGCCTCTAGAGCTGGGGCTACTTCAAGAGCTGGTGCAACATCCCCTTCAAAGCTTCCCGCCCGCGTCCCGCTGGGAAACATGCCCCATGGAAACAACTCCCCTGAGCGTCGTATCCAACCCGGCGCGTACTCGTCTAGCACACTCACTGGAAAGATGCCGCCCCCACGTGGACCCCCTCCACGGATGCGTGCCTTAACGATTGAATCAAGGGAAGACCGCTTCAGCCACCTTATGGACCCCCCTCGCTGCAACAGCGCTATGTCTAGTGCTTATGTGCGGCCTGTTAGCCCAGAAGATGTCTATGATGACCGGCAGCGATCCTTCATGAGCAATTCAGGATTCTCGAACTCGCAAAGATCCACCGGATTTTCTCATTCATCTCAATCCTCACAGTCCTCATTGTCTCTGAACTCATCTAGCCAGACTTTCCCCCGACCTAACCCGTACCTGCAGCATGCAGCTCCGCCCCCAGCTGCCCGTCAGGTCTCCAACTCCTCCACAGTCAACACTACAACCTCTGGGTCCGAAAACTGGGAGACCTTTGAGGACGGCTCGGGGTCAGAAGCCGATCCCAGTGACATTTACTATTCCAAATTGCGTGATGCGCACGGAGGAAAGCGATTTGCACCCGAGGATGGGTCCGATCTCACTGGCAAGAAAGCCAGGGGTATTCGTAGTGTCAGTCCAGATGGTCCGCATCCCGGGCAGGTCCTGCGTGTTGCTGGCAGTGACCACGAGTGGGCCGATGACTACGAGACTTACTAAACGTCCTGACATCGCCTCTCTTCCCGTAATGCATCTCATCTTTTGCATTTCACCTCTCGGCGCCTCGAATGTTTAACAGTTCCGCAACTGTTGATCTTTCATGGTCCTACGACTGGATTCTGCACGGCCCATGATAAACCTTGGCTTCCCTATCACGACTGAGCCCCCTTGAATTCTACACCTTATGGGCAGTTTTCTTCCATCTCCACAAACGCTATTTCCCGAGGGGTCCACTCCAACTTCTCTTCCTGTTTAAAATTACGAGTTTGTCATGCCATCCTTGCTCATGCTTTCCTTCATATGTTGATGTTATTGAGCCAAACCCTGCGCCTGACTGTGTCAGGCTGCCTCCTTATGAGGATTGCTGTCAGTCACACCTTACTTGACTTACTCCCCTCGCTGTTTCAATTCACACTGCGCTTAATCTTCGCCTTTTTCTGGTCTCTTTGGCATGGTGTTATTTCTGCCTTTATTTCTTTGTCACTTATGGTTTTCCTTGGCTTGGTGCTTATGGCTCAATTATTCCCTCTTCGATCTCCGGTTTTGGGAGTCGGATTTTGTCCTTGATTTTCACCGTTTTTCTGCGTAATCGTCAGCGAAGTCCAGTATTTTGATATAGTGTTGTTAATCTTATTCTCTGATTCTCGAAGCTTTTGAACTGTCTTAACCTTGGAAATAATATCATCGACAGATACCTATGTATGTCTTTTGCCGCGACATTTGACTACTTAAGGGCTAGCCTAGCCGTCTGCTGAACTGAGGTGCTTGGAATGCAGCATGAACAACCAGGCAGGACAAATAATGTCCCTGCTCATGACGGACTACTTCGTACGGAGTTGGGGTATCCGTTATCAGGGCTACTACCGAATAAGCCTCTCGCCTTCTAGGCGGCTTGATTTCATCCGTTTAATCCAGTTTCAAGATTTTTCAACACACACCGAAGCTCGAGAGGTGCAATGGCATCCGCCCGGGACACATGTGACAGCCTATCTGGGCCTGTGGTTAGTCAACGTGGTTGTCGTGGAGAGCTCGACTTTACAGGGACATGTTTCCGGTATCTGGGCACCTGGGCAGTCTCCACATATGCCGACATTGCGAGCAAGTTCAGAGGGACGTCCCTCGGAATTGCTGGCGAACAAAGACGTGTTCACAAGCCTGCATCAATTGGAGTAGTCAATGGTAACTTCACAGGAGCTCTGATTGATCCGATCTCATCAAGTTGTACGCAAAAATTTCTAGCTTCAGCAAATACACATTGGAATTGAGTTATATCCGAGACAGCTATGGCACAGTTACTCGATTTTGCCATTCTGCGTTTAACGGTTGGTCGCAAGAGTCCCCATCCAACTCTGATCCTCAGGCAAAGTTCCCTTAGGCACTCTCTGGCCAGCAGGAGGAACAAGGGACTGTGTCAATGCCTTGGCGTCCTGCACTCGGCGAAGCGTCTCATCTCTCCCAAGGACTACCATAGTCTCTGAGATTCCAGGTCCAGGCGCAGAAGCTGACAGCGCCCAGCGGAGGTAGTGATACAGCTCCTTCTTGAACGCTTTTTCTGCGTTATTGGAGCCAACCGGCGTCTCTGACTCAGATGCGGAGAGGACTACACTTCCCGAGCCATCATAGCTGTTAATGTTGTCGCGGTGCGTGTCGATGTTCCAGGCTGCGGGTGGGACGAGGGTTAAAGCAGCTGCTGCGGTGTGCAGGGCTTGAATTGGGACTTCTGGGGAAGGTTGGTGTGAGGCCGGTTTGTAAGGGGCTCTGTTGAGTTTTGGAGTAAAGAAGATGGAGTTACGTTGGGCGAACTCCTTTGCATTTGTATAGCTGTTGGCATCTGCGCGGATGAGGGGCGCGATGTATTCGGAGAGCGTGCGACCCTTGAGGATCGTGGTGCTGCTAGGTGTTAGTCATTTGGTACGTAATCCACGCGTGAGTTCTATCACGGCTGGTGAACGACTTACAGTTCGTCAACAGGGTGGCTTTCTTCCACCACAGAGGTCACCTTCTTCACCATCTCTTCGAACTCAGGCCCACCGCTTTTGGCAAACCGTTGGATGTGTGCCTTCTGAAGGAACTGAAGTTTTTCAAAGGAGACGACAGTGTTGCCTCTAGTGATTTTCAAATTGAACTGTTAACATCGTTAGCAGCGGAATACCGATGAATCCTTGATATCTGAGAAGAACACACAATCTGTTCCAGCTCATTCAGACTTAACACATCAGATTTCTCCGAATGAGACCAGCCAAGGAGCGAAGCAAAGTTCACCAAGGTAGATGGGAGAATCCCCTGCTGATCCTTGAATGACGAGAGGTCGATATCTGCGTTGCGCTTGCTAAGCTTTTGTCCACTCCGGTCGACGAGCAAAGGGACATGAGCAAAGCTCGGTGGCGTCCATTCGAAGGCATTGTATAGCGCCATGTGCATAGGTGTGGATGCCATCCATTCCTAATAGATGCTAGTTCAGTACCTTGTGACTAGATGGTTATTAATGTGCCAAGTAAACTCACTGTTCCTCGGATAACATGAGTGATCTTCATGCAATGATCATCCACAACATTTGCCAAGTGGTACGTGGGGTGTCCGTCCGATTTGATCAGAACTGGGTCGTTGTATACACGGTCGATGAAATCCAACTTCGAGTTGTTTGGTCGATTCTGACCAGATTTGCCATAAACCAGATCGTTGAACATGGGATATTCCTCCACTCTCAATCGAATAATATGTGCCTCTCCCTTGGCTGCTCGATCTTCCGATTCCTCGGCAGATATATCGACGCATTTGCGGTCATAGCCTGGCGCCAGTCCTGCTTGACTGCGGTGACGAGCGATTGAATCCAACCGTTCTGCGGAGCAGAAGCATCGGTATGCATGGCCGTTGGATATAAGATCACTGGCGTAGGACTGATATAAAGCTGTTCGTTCAGACTACACGGGAACAAGTTGTTAGGAATAATTTTGTGTTTGCGACAAAGGAGTGTCTTAAATTACTTGTCTGTAAGGTCCATAGGGACCACCAACGATGGGACCTGTCAGGATATTGAGAGTCAGCAATGTTCCTCAATTTTTTTTTTTGTATTTCAAACCGACCTTCATCCCAATTTAATCCTGCCCATTTGAGATCATCGTAAAGTCGCTGTTCCGCTCCGGGGATCGTCCGTTTCTACTGTAATCAGTCGTGGTCCATCCAACGGAGCGCAATCCACGAACCTGATCCGTATCCTCAATGCGCAGAAGGAATTGACCACCGGTGCGTTTTGCCAGCAAGTAGTTGAAGAGTGCTGTCCGTAGAGAGCCTAGATGGAGGTATCCGGTGGGCGAGGGCGCAAAACGGGTGCGCGCAGGGCCATTGGGCAGTTTGTTCTTCGAATTAGGTGCCTGAGTAGCTGGAGATGAAGAAAATGCTCTGCATTGAAGGATCCATCGCCTGGCAAATAGCCCTTGAGGACTTCTCATTGCGAAACGGTCCAATTATCTAAAGAAATAGAGGAATGGCCGATCTCTTTGAGATGTTGCGGAGTTGCGGAGTTGCGGCGCGGAGCTCCCGAACAAAATTTCTCAACTTTTTTGGATCAAACAACTCCCGCTCTCACTTCTCGTTCAACCTCTCGTTTTTCACTGTTGGGCTCGAGCTGACGGCCTCGTCCTACCGAAGAAAAGTTCGATCGTACTTTATACAACTAAACGCTGAAAAGTAAGTTGGAAAGTTGTGTTTTTTTCAAGACTCTATTAACAATGTTCTTAGTGGCTACAGCTGGAGTCGACCTCTACGGTACGTTATTGGTGCTTCAACTATAAAAAATCCGTATTGATGAGTGTTGCATTCATACAGAGGTCCTAGAGATCCATCGGAGCTCAACCAAAGAGGACATTCGCAAGGCATACCGCAAGGCAAGACAAACCCCGATCGTATCCATATTCTAGCGATACTGACAGTTGGTTTGCCAATAGGCGGCCTTGACCAACCACCCTGACAAAGTCCCTGAAGCCGAGCGTGAAGAAGCCTCAATCCGGTTCAAAGCTGTGCAAGAGGCCTATGACATTCTCTACGATGATGACAAGCGACACCTCTACGACACACACGGAATGTCTGCTTTCAACGGCTCGGGTGAGCCGGGTATGGCAGGACAGCCTGACCTGGATGACTTGCTGGCACAGATGTTCGGTAGTGGCATGGGCGGTATGGGGGGTATGGGCGGGATGCCTGGCATGGGAGGCATGGGAGGAATGCCTGGTGGTCGCCCTAACAAACCGCGCAAGAGCCCCAGCGAAGAGCAAGATTACGAAGTCAGCCTGGAGGATCTTTACAAGGGGAAAACTGTTCGGTTTTCCAGCGTCAAGAACATCATTTGTTCACATTGCAAGGGCAAGGGCGGCAAGGAAAAGGCCACTGCCAAAAAGTGCTCGACTTGCGGTGGCCATGGTCACAAGGAGGTCTTGCAGCGCATGGGGCAGTTTGTGACTCAGCAGACGGTTATCTGTACCACATGTAACGGAGAAGGCTCATACTTTGCCCCGAAGGATAAGTGTAAGAAGTGCAAGGGCACGAGGACGACCGAGGCGAAGAAGATCCTGGAGATCTACATTCCCCGAGGCGCGAGGTCAGATCTCCTTTTTTTTTGGTGCTATTCAACGAAATCACATACTTACTGTGCTATAGGGAAGGAGACAGGATTGTGTTGGAAGGCGAGGCCGATCAGGTGCCCGATCAAGAGCCCGGCGACATTATTTTCAAAATCATCGAGGAGGAACACCCTGTGTTTACACGTGCGGGCTCGGATCTCCGTGCAACTATTGACATCACTCTTGCTGAATCCTTGACCGGGTTCTCCCGTGTCGTGATCAAGCACCTCGATGGCCGTGGCATTGAGCTTAATCACCCTCTCACCGCCGGTGCTATTCTCTCACCCGGACAGGTCCTCAAGGTTCCCGGAGAGGGAATGCCGATGAAGCGTACCGATGCCCGTGGCGACCTGTACTTGGTTGTTGACGTCAAGTTTCCTGATCACAAGTGGAAGCCTACCCCTGAGATGCTGGAGAAGCTCAAGGAAATCCTCCCCAAACCTAGTCCTCCCATCAAGGCTGACACTGTGGACGAAGTTGAATACGACCCCAAGGGTCAGATGGAAGAATTCGGGGCGCAGGATGGCCAGAACGCATCAGCATGGGAAGACGAGGAAGATGACGATGAACCGGCGCAGTGCGCAGCTCAGTAAAATTATTTTTGCATAGATGGCATGGCGTCTGGGGCTTTTTATTAATAGGGGATATGTGAATAGAATAACGCTCTTGACTGCAAAACACATAATGGACTAATGTAGGGCACATGGAACCAATTCCACCCCCAGAATGAGTGGATCGGTGTGGATAGCGTGCAGTGGACATTGTACACAAAGTACAAATACACACTCATCTCTATTCGTCCTTCGGATAAATAGGGGCATCTAACCCATCCCCAATGCTAAATTCGAGACCGGGATGCAGGACTTCCGGGTCGGCCTTGGCACCTTTCGGCTTCGATTTCGGCTTCCCTCATCTCTTTAACTTGGAATCATTCCAAGATATACCATCAGTCTCTATAGTAGAGTCAATAGCTTCCACTACACAAATTTCAACTAAAAGGTCAATATCAAATCACCTCACTTCCCTGCATCGGTGACGGCCGCCATTCCAGCACGTCCGCTTCTGCCCCGAGTGCATAGCCCCGAAGCAACATATGGAGGGAGCCTTACGCTTCGTTGTGATGGTGGTCGGATTTGAGCAGATTCAAATGGGCGTCAAGTTGTTATTTTGATTGGAGATAAGGAAATCCGGCGTCAGTCGTGATCTAAAGATTCCGAGTGAGCCAAACGCCGTGCAAGAGACCTTGGCGAGGTTGATCAGTTTATTGAGGCCGTTGCTTTGCTTGATGCTGTTCAGTAGACTGTTCAGTAGAAGCGTGTTGCGCAATGTGGGGAACCCCGGTATCACCATAGAGGTTCCAACTGGATATGTGGGGGGGGGGGCGTAAATGAAACAAGCGGATGTGGGGAAATGAACGCCAAATGCGGAGATACTGAACAGCACAATGCCGGGAGCCCAAGCCGTACAAGCCATTCGGGCCAAGGGATTTGTTTAACATTTGAGTCCATCCACGGGCCTGGGGATCCCCGTGTTGCCTTGTGGAATGGGGATGGGTATCGGCAGCCTTGGAATTGAGCCCCCCGGGAAGCTGACCCTGGAACCTTTGCAGATGCCAAGGAATGACATCAAGTCTATCTGGGAAGTCACTACCTGGTTTAACCGCTAAGCAAGGCGTGGAGAATTATGATACTTGGGAGAATGGTTGAATAGAAGCCAAGGAGCTCAATGAAGATGATTCAAGAGCGTCAAAGCGAATCCCCAAATTTTCCGGCTCTCACAGATTGTCCTGACTCCGGGTTTGTCGAGCTACACTTCCAGGGCCCCATGGGATCCTCATTGTGTTTAGTGGGAAAAGTGTCCAACCGTCTTTAGCCGTGGATTTAATTTCTCCGTCGACATTTATGCAAGGTGGATGCAATCGGATGGACCAAACAGCGAACTTCATTTCTCCACGATTCCCCACATTTCGGCATCTGAACCCCAGGGCATAATGGGTCCGGGGTACTTAGTCCCTAGTGCTTAGTCCCTAGTGGAATTTAATGAGCACATTTCCAAGATTTGGCTGTATGAGGGGTGTGCTACATTCTTTCCAGGGCTTTATTTATTCAATCCGGTGTGCCCCTCAGACTTCTCTTCACTTCATATGCTCGGGGAGAATTGCAAAATGAGTATCTTCAAAAATAGTCGCGTCTACGTGCTCGCCACGGTAGCATATACGGGTTCATTCCTATTCGGTAAGACCAAAGCTCTCTTGGCTATCAAATACCGTATGCTAAGATGTTCCAAGGATATGACACAGGTGTGATGGGAAGTGTTCTGGAGCTTTCAAGTTTCAAGGCCGACTTTGGACTGAAAGAAGGAAGTTCTGGCTTCTCAAATGCCAAAAATGCCAAAGTCTCGTCGAATGTCGTTTCGCTTCTCACTGCCGGATGCTTTTTCGGTGCAATCCTTGCCTCCTTTGCCAACGAGAAATTTGGCCGTCGCTATTCCATCATGGGATTCCTGATGTTCTTCCTTGTTGGTTCTGCTGTCCAAACCGCCGCGCATGGCTCGTTGTCATATCTGTATGGTGGACGCGTGATTGCAGGCTTCGGGATCGGAGGCATGTCAGCTATCACTCCGGTCTTCGTGTCTGAGAATTGCCCCCCGGCGATTCGCGGTCGTGTTGCTGGTCTCTTCCAAGAATTCCTCGTCATCGGTGTCACTGTTGCATACTGGCTTTGCTATGGCGTAGCTGAAACCATCGCCCCCACAACCAAGCAATGGCGCATCCCTATTGGATTCCAGCTTGTACCCGGCGGTCTTATGATGACTGGCTTATTCTTTTTGACCGAATCTCCTCGCTGGTTAGCCAAAGAAAATCGCTTCGAGGAAGCCCTGGAAGCCCTTGCATACATGCGGTCCGAGCCAACCACGAGCCCTGAGGTCCAGATCGAGATGGCGGAAATCAAAGCGGCCGTTGAACACGAAGTTGAGGCCACCCAGGGACTTACCTGGCGAGAACTCTTCCTACCTGGCAACCGCATTCGCTTTGCCAATTGCGTCTTGATGATGTTCTGGCAGCAGTGGACCGGCACCAACAGTATCGGATACTATGCTCCTCAGTTGTTCCAGACCGTCGGAGTGGCCGGAGGCAACACCAGTCTGTTCACAACGGGGATCTATGGCATCGTCAAGGTAGTGACTACCGCAATCTTCCTCCTCATTGGCATCGACAAGGTTGGTCGACGATGGTCTCTTATTGCTGGCGCAATTTGGATGTCCACGATGATGTTCATCTTGGGTGGTGTTCTGGTATCCTATCCTCCGAACCCTAGCGGCCACGGTGGTATTTCCTCGGCATCCCTTGCGATGATCGTCATGATCTACTTCTACGTCATTGGATATTCCGCCTCCTGGGGACCGATTCCATGGGTTTACGTTTCTGAAATTTTCCCGACTCGCCTTCGTGCGTACGGTGTTGGTTGCGGATCGGCAACGCAATGGCTTTTCAACTTTGTAGTTACCTATGTAACTCCTGCAGCCATCAGCAACCTTGGCTGGCGAACCTTCATCATGTTCGGTTGCTTCTGCTTTGCCATGGCCCTTTGGGTTTTCCTGATCGTCAGGGAAACCAAGGGTCGCTCCCTCGAGGAGATGGATATTCTCTTTGAGAAGTTCCATGCCTTTGGCCGATTGCGTGATATTGAAACTGCAAACGAAAGCAAGCGTTCCTTTGATGGCGCTGTCACCTCGTATCACAAAGAAGTACACGGTGTGGAAGCTGAGAATGGTGCGAGATAGATAGATTTTAGAACTTGTCAGGTGGCATCTTTCGGATACGCATCTTGCATCTTAGTTATTTTGTAAGGGTCGCTTTCCCTTCTGTACATCAGCCTCGCTAATTATCTTGATAGAATTTACGTGACAATTTGGTGTTCGGCTCTCATACCATCTTCTCCTCATGTGCGTGTGTGAATCAACATCTTTGCCATTTGATAGACAAAATAAGCACGCCAACTTTGAAGTCGAAATCAAAGTCCGAGTCTGTGTGTATCTCTAGCGAAAATGAAAACGGCAACCCTTTCTAGACTGGCCACTCCCTGCAGCCGACGGAAGTCGGCAATCGGAAAGTGGGAATGTGGGAATTACGGTGAGACACCCGGCACCGCTGGGAAAGTCATCGGTTCCAGTTCTCCGTAGCGTTTTCCTTATTAACTTCTACCCGAGCTACCCGACGGGGGTGAGATGAAATCCCTAGCTCCTTCGTCACTTCCAATTTTATTTCCCGCGAGAAAAAGAAAAATCCAGAGTAGGTCTACATATCTTTCCCGCCTTAAGCGACAAGCTATTCCGCGCCGAATGTATCCGAATCCTGTCTGTGGTAAACAAGAAAGCCACCAAAGATAAAGTGAACTAAGTTATCAAGATGTAAAAGACCCTTTCGTCGGGATTGGCGACAGGGAATTATCGGGACACCTCCAGGAGACGATAGAATGCAACGTGAGAGCATGAAAGTTCCCCGGCTGCACCCAGGGATTGTTCCCCCTTACATCCCTAATATTGTCACCGGTTTAGAGGGATCTAAGCGGCTAGCCAACTGAATAGTAAGATGTGTACGATAATTGTATGGGTTCATAGTTTTTATAGGGCATCCAATCAACATACATGTCCGTTTCACCCTGGCGAGGCCTGCAAAAGTGGCGCGAAGAATTGCCGTTTTTTTTTTTCAAGTCTACATAATGTCTTCCCCTGTAAGGTGCGGTGACAGTCTTACACAATAGCGGTAAAAGGGGTAACCTTCGCCTGATAGCTTGATCCCATTTTGTAAATTTCCCTCGAGATCAGTTGTCGAATTGTATCAAATATAGTGTTCCCGACCTGCATAGAGGAAAGATGCTCGATACTTCGGCCTGCGCCTGGGAGTTGGGGCAATACAGTACTTTACTTGGGGGTGAACAGATGAGATCTCACCGGTGTACTGCCAGAAGGCTGGTAGGCGGGAAAGATACTTCATATCTCGAAAGGAAATAATTAGGAAATAGAAGACCATAGCGTGTGGTTATACCCCATCGCGTCCGATAAAGGACTCATCGGCTTGTTGCAACGCCTCCTTCTTTAGAAAGTGCTGGATTTCTACTCCGTGCTCATCTTTGCATTCGAGAATGTTATCGAATTTGCAAAGGGTGCAAGTGCCGGAATTTGAGAGCCCACTGGTTTGAGCGATCGATTGGGCTTTCCCCAAGGAGGGGTGGTGCTCCATGCGTCATTCATCGAGAGATATGGTTCGTCAAGGCAGCCGCTTATAAGGCGAGCTAACCATTCAAACGACGAAAACGATGAAAATTCGGATGAGAACCAAAGGGCTATATAGTATAGGAATGAGCCGTTTAGAGCTCAGGACCAGACACGAGTGAAGTATACCAAGAATTTGTATTCTTTTACAAACTGAAGCGGGCTAACTAGCTAAATATTATAGGAAGCCTAGCAAACAAGGCATTCACAACCACTGTGGGTGTCTCAACAAAAATCTATACATCTTCATTTCACACATAAGAGGGAGAGGAAAACAAAATCATTCGCATAAGCACCCATTGACCTACAAAACTTGTCAAGGTTCAAAAACAAGCCTCCAGACACATAACTCATCCTCCGAACCCCAATTTATCCAGCCGGGTTCTTGCAAGTGAAAGGGGTCAGTTTGCCCGAATTGAAACTCGTGTTCATGGCAGTAACTGAAGACCAGATTCCCAGACCGGCGGCGGACAAGGAAGCTAGTGAGTAGATGAGATCGAAAGTGTTCCAAACGAACTTCTTTTTATATCCTCTGATAATCCGCTTGATTCCACTGTCCACGCGCTGCACCTGGCCAGTGGTGGGATTGAATTCCTCTTCGGGGAGTATCGCATCATTCTGGACGTTGAACCCAACCAGAAGCAGAGGCGGGAAGGTGTAAGAAAACTGCAGGATGCAGGCGGCTCCCACGAAGGAAGTCAGATTACTGATTTGTGGGATTGCGGCGCCAATCACCCAGGCAAGAATCCAGTACACCGGCACTAGAGGGATTGTTACTGGTTAGTTACAAATGGAGCATTGGGAAGCTAGATCTTGACTTACCGAGCCCAATCCACATCAACTTTCCAGTTCGGCTGTTCAATTCGGGGAAACGGAAGACATCGCGGAACACGGCAGAGTAAAACACTTTGATACCAATGTTACCATACAGCAGTGCTGCGATGATGCCGGTGATAAATGAAATAGCGTTGCCCAGAGTCTGGAAATTGTAGGCAGAGTTGGGAATACCTGTTACAAAAAAAATGGTGAGCAATCTCAAGATCTCCCTTGGATGTTACGTTGCTTACCTTGATAGGCAGGATTGAAAGTAAATTGGCCCTGGGCACTGTACACAACCATGCCCGAGATAAGGTAGCAAACGTAGATGAAGACCTCGGCAATGATGAAGCCCTTCCAGAAATCGTAGGGCCGTCTCATCTCAGCCATGAGCTCATTGAAGAGGGTTGCGCCACCGTACGCGAATACAGCGTTCATCATAGCATTCACTTTGTCGTCAAGAGTTGAGCTCTTAGGCCAGTACCCGGTTGTCTTCACAGGTCCCTTTGGCGTACCATAACTAGCCAGCGAGGCTTCGTAGTTGGGTGGATACTTGTACACCACAGCCATCGTCATGACGATGACAATGATGTTCAGCCAGACCGCAATGTTCGACAAATAAGAAAGGCGCTGCAGGGTACGGATCTGCCCAAACAAAAAGCCGGCGACCATGAAGATAACCTCGGCAGCGATGAAACACAGGTACCCATGGCCACTGGACCCGAGAGCCATCTGCGCGAGTCCTTGTCCATTGCTTACAATGAGCAGGGTCACATTGAGGAAGAACTGGAAACTTTGCAGGACGTTCACGAAAATGCGAGCCCAGTTACCGTAGATGCGGAAAGCCACATCGCCATAGTTGCGCATCGGGAATCGAGTGGAGTCAAGACCGATGAAGATCCTCCACAGTTGCATGCCGGAGTAACAAGCCATGGCTCCGAAGACAGTGTAAAGCACAGCTCCTGGGCCGAAGCCCATCTGACTGATTGCCCAAGGGACGTTGGTCGGCCCTAAGATGTCGGTGGAAATGAGATAGAAGATCGAACCCCAGGTTGCCGTTCGCGCGGCCCGTTGCGCTTGTTCCCATTCTGTCTCGGTGATGCCCCAATCATCGGTTGTGCTCTCGCCGTTTGCTTTGCTGGAAGGGTTGGCGTTAGGGTCAGTGACAGGAGAACCCTGTCCCTGGGCCTCACTTGTCGGTGTCACTGAAGGATCAAAATTTTTATCAAAAAACTTCCTAAACCAGTACTCAAATCCCACATTGTCGGTCCGAATGTGCTTCTCAACCTCGCGCGACCGCTTGGCCCAGTGGACATAGTTCTCAAAGGTGATGCTAGAATCGACGTAAAACGATTGACTGGTATCCAAAACGGCAGATGGATCCTCGTTAGAAACCGAGACGGCACGCTCCTTGTTGTACGATTTTTCGTCACCCAGATGAGCATCGGCCTCGGCATCTAAAGTATAGCCGGAGATGCTGTCTGCCATGATGAGAATCCGACAGACCTCACAAAATGTAAAAAAAATAAGATGCAGGAAAAAGAGTGGGAGTCCCGGACGGTACGGAATACTGTTCATATACAGAGAAAAAACAGAATCATCATGTTGTCCAACCGGAAGTGGCAATACCGCGTGCCCAAAGAATCGATTGGACATGGAAATTGCGTGGACCATTTTCACGACCGTGAGCAAATGGTCCGTCCAATACCTCCAAGGCAAGTTATCAGGTATTAGCCACCCACTCCACGCCAGATGTAACATGGCCCCATCTGCCACCAAAAATCAAAGCTTCGTCAATGTGCGGCCTCCTCAAGTGGCTACGAAGTTAGCCCTCATTCCACCGGGGCTCCACCCAGAACTCGGCAAAAGCTTGTCTCAGAATCCAAACTGGCGATAATGCACCTGAAAGCCCAATCGTGATGTCCCCGCACTGATTGCGGCTAGTTCAGCTGCGGAGGTCCAACGGAGACCGTCTATCTTACTTTGGCTTATGAGACTCTTTTGGTGATTCATTTGCACTCGGATCCAACGCTTACGATTCATCGATTCCGGTTGAGCCGGTATCATGTGCGGCTGTGAGGGCAACCTACGGCGTACCGTGTCGGGGCCGATCCACTTGAATAGTCTCTTTTTAATGGCGAATCAGACCATGATGGCTTGGCGAATGGATCTTTGTCACACTCGGTAATACAGAGTATCTGCACAGGCCGTAGGCCACTCTGTTCAAGTGCCGCCCTCGGAGGAGAATTCAGCCGAAAGATACCAAGTTAACAAATCTTTTTATGTAAATATCCGTAAAATGCCCCGGTGGCACTCGGACTGATACACCTTTGGATGTCCAGTTACAACGTCAAGTTTATCCTGAATCATGTACAGTGCCTTGCCTGAGGCCTCAAAAAAAAAAGCTTTTTCACCCAGAGCATAAAGTCTTCAGGAGCAACCTTAGTATCCACGGATCCCTTGGCATATCCACGAAGGACGATTAACAGAAACGTTCGTTTGGGTCAAGGCTTCAACGGTATACCCGAACACTCGGTTTTAACACATCAATACCGCCGCAGTTCAAAATTCACTGCACCATTCCTTCCCCATAAATTCGTCATGTTGCGGGTTTGTCACGTAATTTTCCCCCTCTTGATCCAATCATAATGCCGGGTTGCTTTGAACACGTGACACTATGTCAATTTCAACCTGTAACCACACGCTGCCGTATTTACATCAGGCCCTAGCCTTCGGAAGGGACCACACAACCAATTAAAAATACCTTACCGATCGATCTTAACCTTCTAGAAGGTGGCTCTACGAGAGTAGTTTATAATTAATGGGATTAGGTCTCCGTAGACAGAAAGGGTTAGCAGAAATAAGGATGAGAAATAGAGTGGCATTAGAGCCCTCTTTGGAGCATAAATTTTTATGCAAGCTAGGAAGATTCCAAAAATATGGAGATCTTTTATATGGCATCTAGATTTGACGAATATCTCACCGTGCTCTCAATTCTTTGTGAAATGCCAAGCCCATCATCACCTACCCGGTGTTGGTG